AAAAATCCTGAGTTTTAGTCCTAAATATCATAAGCTTTTGATAATTTGGAACATCTCAAACAATGGCAAGACAGCATTTAGAAAATGAACAGCTGGGCACAATGGCTCATACCTGTAATCCTCGTCCTCTGGGAGGCCAAGACAGGAAGACTGCTTGAGGTTGGGAATTCAAGACCAGGCTGAGCATGAGCAAGACCCCGTCTCTACAAAAAGTAGAAAAATTGGCCAGGCGTGGTGGCAGGCACCTGTAGTCCCAGCTACTCGGGAGGCTGAGGCAAGAGGATCACTTGAGCCCAGGAGTTTGAGGTTGCAATGAGCTATGATGACGCCACTGCAGTCTACCCAGGCCTATGGAGTGAGACTCTGTCTCAAAAAAAAGAAAAGAAAATGAAACAGAAGATTTTTCTATAAAATTTACTCTTGTTGTATTCCCATTTTATATACTTACTATATATGGCACATCTCTTGTATTTCTCTGTATGTCACTTTTGAAATATATTCTCTTTATATGATTAGCTAAGTTTGGAAATAAGGCAGTTTCATCATACTGTTAGTAATAGATTTGGAGCCCAATAAAACTTTCTTTACAAAAACAGGAGGCAGGCTGGATTTGGCCCAGGAGCTATAGTTTGCCAATTCTGTGTATAGATCAAAATCAGACTTCTCCTGGGTGGTGAGGGAAAATGGAGAAAAAATATCTAAGAAAGAAAATAATAGTAGAAATGGGATGTTTCTCCATTTTCATTTAGATGGTAAGATTAGTATTTATTGAAATATTTACAGTATGCCTGACACTGGCTATATTAAGACTTTTTACATGCATATTAATCTTTAGCTAATATAGCTGAGGCACGATAATCTATAAAACCCAGTCCTATATTTTTAAAATAAAACCTTAAGGCAGTTTTAGATATTTAACTATTAAAACATGCTATACAATTGAATGTCTGCAGTGCTAAGTCCTAAGCAATATTACCAGATGAGAATCACAACAACCTTTGAAATTATTGCTGTTATAAACCCCTTTTTATGTAAAAGGAAATGAAGTCTTAAAGTATTAAGTAACTTGTTGGAGACCGTAGAGCTAATAATATGTTAAGTTG